TTTGTTCATCTTCTAATCTGTCTGAGGGGTTTTCATCACTCTGTTGTCTGTCGCCTTTGTGGCTCTGCTTTGCATAGAAAGCTGTGAAAGCAACACAGTTCATCTAACTAACTATTGCTGACTGCGTTTTCACGGGAAATGGGATTTGTGTAATTATGCCGAGGCACTACCTGAGCCTCAGCGTGAAGAGATGCTCTTTTCATCTCCACAAATCACTGGCACATGTACTCAGAACGCAGCCGATGTGGTCGTCCACTCAGAGAGCTCAAATTTTCCCTCTTGTGTGCCATTAACGGACCGAAAAGCATCGAGGCGAGAGTGTCGCCGGGCGATGTGATGGGATGGATTCACAATGTTCACGCAGTCTGTGCAGGATGTGGAGAACGGGTCCGAGACCTTTTCTTAAAAGGGTCAGTTCGTCCAAACCACAAAAATAGCTGCTTCAAGCCAGATAATATCGATAACACCAGCGAGGGAAAGCTAACGAGTAGACAGTAGACCGCCGATAACAGAGTTGATTAGTCGTAAACAAGGAGACCGCTGACTTTGATTTGTAATAAAAATGAACATCTTAGTGTCAAAGTTTAGAATTACACAAACTCCAACACAAAACTTACTTAAAATGCCTTTTTAAAATGTAAGTCTTACACGTTTCATCATTTATCTTTCAGTGTTGGTTGTTGGGCTTTTACGGAAACATCGTCACAGCGCCATGAGGCTAATCGAGGCTAACAGTTTTTATTGTCCAGCTTTATGGAATATGTTTGTGAAGCGTTACTGCAACCTAAACCGGACTAATAATACATGAAGAGAGATAAATGAGGAGGTTAAATATTTAGTTATAGGAAGTATGAAGCATTACAGTTAGCGTGTGTTAGCTCAACTACTTAGTCAAACAACTGTTTGGCCTGTTAGCTCATTCGTTTTCACAAACTCCTGGAGCACACAGTCCAGTCTCTTCATAATCTGGTGCAAACGTTTATGTTTTTTAACGTACTCAAGGCAAATTTCAGAAAAAAAAAAAAAACAGGAGGAGATTCGCAAACACAACACAAACGATGCACAAGTGCAACATTTCTGTCATTTTAGTGCAAAAGCTTCCTTCACTCCCTGTTTCCTCCCAGTCAGAGTTCACTGGTGAGTCACAGTGAAAACTTTCATCTTCCACAAAATTTCCAGTTAAAAAAGCCCTTAAATCAGTTTCCTATTTAACAAAAAGCACATTAGAAGGTATTAAAAAGTCTCATTTTCGCTGAGAAAACACTTAAATGATTTCTCCTGCTTGCTTTAGGCAGCAGTGAAATGATCTGTGGTCAATTACAGGACGCTGGGAGACGCTGCACACCTTTAAACTGAGATATTAGATATCTGAAGTAAACACCGAAGCTACTGTGAGCTGCAGCATGGAGGAAGCAAACATCAGCAGCATCCTAAATAAATTAAAATAGATGAATGATTCCAAACTAGTTAATCCATCCGTCCGTTTTCTGCTGCTCAAGCAGGTCCTGGTCGGATTCACTGAATTAATTATGCCATTAGGAACTATTGTAAACTGCTGGGAAGCTCTGACAGAAACGTGATGTGATAATAAAAGGATTCTGGGTCGCAACGTCCCTGCTGGTTTCCCATCATATTTCCATCCTTGCAACAGGTTTGCGTTCTGTGTTATTAATTAAAAAGGCCTTCAAAAGCCTTAATATCAACTGAACTTGATTAACCCTTCAGAAAAAAAATGATTTTACGCACCAGTCGAGGAAAACGAGCTGATTTAAATCATGCTGCTGCCAGTTTACAACATTCAAAGATCATCGGTTGTTTCTCCAAAGCCATCGATAAGCACACAACCCACAACAAACTGAATGACTAAACTAGTCGATATTATATTCTAGTGATGCAGAATTGGCTCTAAAATGCACTAAATAAACAAAAGAAGCCCCCCTATGAAAGGCAACACTAGCAGTTGTTTAAAACTCGAGTAATTCTACCTGGTTTCTTCCCACATCTGCATTTTCCAGCTATTAAAATGAGGAATTTGGGGAATTAGAGGTGGCGGCGGGAGGGGCGGCAGCATGCAATAACTTGGTCAGCTGTCAGAGTGGCTTCACGCTGAAAGCCTCATGCTTTCCTTCCTCACCTCGGCTCAGTTTAACCCCCCGGTCCGCAATCAGGTGAGTGAAACAGAGCTGATAGCCTGCAGGATATCTGCCGGGAGAAAAGTGAGTCAAGCGCCCGAGCCAGGACAAGCCCTGACAAAACCATTAGCTTCCATGACCTCCAGCTCACTGTGGCAGCTCCATAATTCATGTGGGAAGGAGGGAGCCGGAGGGGGTTTAGCCTCCCGCACCTTTCACCTCTTTTTCCCTGCTGCCGCTCCGCCCTTTAATTACCTTTACGCTGCATTTATTCCACTATTTGTTGACGCCGTTACTGTAACAACAGATTAAGATGTTTTAAAAGTCGGGTTTGTGTCGCCGTGCCAGAAACCATAATGCTCCAAGATTTAATGGCTGGAAGCAGATTTTTCGCTCTGAGATGTTGAGCAGCTTCCAGAAAAGATTCTCTCCGAATGTTCCCAGGAGTCTATAGGAGATAAATGCTTTGGCTGTGCAATGTAGCTGAATATCAGGGTCAGCTCTGCATGTCTGAATGGTAAAGAAGGCACTCGTTTAAATGGGAGAAAAACATCAGATTGGCACAACAAACAAGCAGAGATTGGAAGCACATTTGCTCTTTGGGAGTTATAGTCAAATATCACCATCAGTCTAAGGAAGACAATATATTCTCCAAACAGAAACACAAAATGTCATAAATTATTCCCACAAAAACCATAAATATCACGATTTCTGCCACAGCTAAAGAAGCCCTCCACTGATTTATATATGCTAGGAGACGCATCATGAGCAGAATAAGCCGTCAACACCACGCTGGAGCATTTCCACCTCAAAACTGTCGTGTATCAACAATAGTTTCAAAAATACAGATTCAGACTGTCAGCGTTTTGTACATCACAGACCTAAATAATCAACTTTCTGTATCACTATTCTGCTTCAGAATCCGTTTCTGGTTCAAACACGAACGACTGGATTACTCCAACTTTAAAACATTGTAACATGTGAGCCGGTGTGCTCCAGCTGCAGCGGAGAAAAAGGCGGGAACTTCATAGATCTGCATTTTCTAGAGGAAGCAACAGTTTAGAGCCATTTAAAGGCCAAAAAATAGAATTTTTATGGGGAAAAAAACTCTAAATGTGAAACTTTGACACACTGAGATGAATTTTTAGTGATTTAAATCAACAACTGGACTTTAAGCTTTGATTAAACTCCCACTAACAGCTCGAACTAAGATCTTTACATTTCCATTGTGTACAGATTAAACTAATAACTAAATGAGGTTTAGCTCTGTCTAACTGTGCCTTGCTGTTCTCTTTATGCTAAGCTAGGCTAACTATGTCATAATTCCAGCTCAATACACAGACATAAGACTAACATCCATCTCCTCATGCAACTATGCAAAGAACACATATTGCAGTTTGCTTAAATTGACCATTATTATGTGTAACTGTAATATCACCAACAAAACATGAGTCAAAGTGAAGCGATTTGTTGAAAACTGTTCCCACTGTTTGCCTACAAATGCTGGTTTGTGTGTCACCAGCAAAGCCAGTAAAGCTCTGACCACAACTCAATGCAGTTTTAAAACAACTATTAACCGAAGAAGTGCACCTTTTTTTTAAACTTATTTTATTTTATTTTATTTTATTCTATTGTGTACAGCACTTTGTTCAACTGTGGTTGTTTTGAAAGTGCTTTACAAATAAAGTTGGATTGGATTGGATTGGATAAACTAAAACACCTACAGATGACATGCAGCACACGTCTAACGGTGCACAAGCCACACACTCAGTCACACAATTACATCTCAAAAGAGCAACAGAGATTAAATGTGCCTCACAATACTTCCAGTTAATTAAGACCAGAGCAGTGATGAGCGCTGTAACAGCCTCTTCCTGCTGTGTGATTTACACTTCGTTCAAATAAAAATGTTTTATTATCATTTCTCTTAAACCAAATGAGTGTTTCGCAACTTGACAGAAATATTTAAAGTTGGGAAATCGCTGCATCGCTGCTGTGATGTTTCCACTGAGGGGGGAAGAACTGTGACTGCGTGTATTCTGGTGTTTTAAACGCACACAGAATTTCCCCCAAAATTAAGCCAAACATGTTCTTCACACTCTGCGGGGCCTCTGCTAGAATATTAAATACAGTTCTGGGGATCTGAGCACAAGGCTTGGCCGCACAGCTTGACTTTCTAAAGTCTGACCAGGCTGCATAAATTTGACATCACCACCCGTTGTTTGGGATTTTTTTTTTCATCAAGACACGTACAGGCCTACTTTGGCTCCGAGGGCACACATTTGATCACAACCTCTGCCTGTGTCTGTCTTTTAAAAACGCAGGTGGTGGTCTTCCACAGGCAATAAACCAGCAGCAGCAGCAGCAGCAGCAGACTGCCCACAGCCTAAACATTCCTGCGTAACAACCCGGAATAAACAGGCTTTTCCTGCACCTATTCCACGCCACCTCTGTTTCTGTCTGCCCAATTTGACCTCATTCTGTAACATCTACAGTCCCAGCTTTTCTGTCGTTAAACACCTCAAATCAAAGCTGCAAATTGTATGAATGATGTCCCCTTACAGGTCATTTAAAATCTACACTTTTCTCATACAATCGTGCGCAAATTGTTTCTGCTGCGCATCATTCAGTTCGTGGAAATTTCCTCCTCCTGCATCCACTGACATTATCTTTATAGTAGCCAGCTGGTGATCTGCTTTATTTCCAGATAAGATCACAGGCTTCAAAGAAACAAACCCCTCTCATGCAGGAAACTGAGCAAAAACACGTGTCTGAATTGGGACTTTTGGAGGTGATTTTTGCGCATCTGTGCCACAGCAACACCTCAGGACACAAATCATATCATATCAAACTTTAAATCCCACTTACTTCTTCCGCGCTCCTTCATAAAAGTAATGAGGTCCTTGTAGTACTTGAAGTCGTCCTCGTACGGCTGGGCCTCCACCGTGACGTTCATCTCCTCCTTCAGGTTCAGGAAAATCCCCTCAGAGAGAAAGTAGTGCGGCCGGTCGTCCTGCCGCAGGTCGTGGAAGATCACCACGGCGCGGGACGTCCAGTTGAAGTGCGTGTGCAGGACGTTGGCGAAGTCTCCGAGCTTGGTGGTGGACGGCCCGCTGCGCACGATGGTCCGGTACTCCTCCCGCTTGTCGAAGCCGTACGCAGGTCCACCGGCCGTGAACAGCGGGAGCTTCCAGTGGGACGCGAAACGCCCCACGGAGGCGAGCGGGTACACGCACCCGGGTCCGAAGAACGCGTCCGGACGGATGTAGAGCTTGGCGTCCACGGCCACCACCTGAGCCCGGCTGACTGCGCAGGAGCCCGCCACGGGGTCCTCGGTGCTGTAGTTGAGGATGTTGATGGAGCGGCCGAGCAGCAGCTTGTGTTTGCCGTGCAGGTCTTCGTGCGCCATGAGGATGGCCGGGAAGACGCGCGGCAGAGCCCACGGGTACTTGTGGTGGTTGTCCGGGAGCATCACGGCCACGGTGATGTTACCTCGGCAGCCCGGAGGGAGGCAACAGGACAACGCCGCGAGCAGGCAGCATCCCAGCGCGCTTCTGCATCCCATTTCTCGGTCGGGCCACGGGGGGAGAGCGCACCGTTTGGAGAGGAGACACGGCCGGCTGTGGCACCCTGGCGCTACACCATAAGTATCCTCCGCGTTCTGCCTCCTTCTCTGCCTCCTTCTCTCTCAAAAGTGGCACAGAGTCGGTAAAGGCATCATCCTGTGGCGCCGGTCCGGCTGTGCCATGCGTCCGCGCTGCGTAAAATCCACGTTAGAGGAACTTCTTGTACTTCCCCAAGCGAGTTTTCCGGCGCGGCGCGCTCCTCACACTGACGGGCTCTGTGAGAGTGATAACATACATCCAGATGACTGTAACTTAAATCAGAGCAGCCCTCTGCTCGGCCCCCACACGTCACACACTGCAAGAAGTGCGTTTCTGACGCTGTCAATAAATCATTACGTGCCAAACTGTCATCTCCCTGCAGGTAGAACATTAAATACTGACATGATTCCACTGCAGATCACATTTATCTGAATTTTCCGGATTCTTCTGCGTCTTTACAAAACGAGACAGACCTGAGGTGGCATTTGAGTTTAAAATTACCTGAAGCTCGTGTAGCTGCGGCAGCACCGAGGGGGAGGTGTTTGGACACGGAGGCTGCTCGTGCGTAACCAAAAATCAAACTGTAAAACCAAATTCAGGCACAACAAATTTGCATGTTAAAATATTTGACACTTTTTGCAGTGTGGTGGAGATAAACGCTCTGACATACCTGGAGGTGAGTCGCCCCCTGCCTGTCATCTCACAGGTTACAGTAAAGGCTGCTGTAGTGCACAATCACTGCTGGGGAAGGAAGCAGCTTCAGTTGTTTCTTTTTTATTATTATAAAATGTGACGATGTCTTAACATTTTTGGGTTTATAGGTTTATCAGAGGCTGACAGGGTTGTCAGCTGCTTTATTAAACAAGTGGCTCTAGTGTGATTGATGTGCACATGGAGGTAAATCAGTCAAACTAACTGAGCCTCCTGCTTGTGTTTACATATGTCCCAGGGGTCTGATTTACTTGGAGAATTTTAAAGTTTATATCTGCACAAAATCTCATCAGTAGCTGACAGTCAGGATTTAGGCTCATCATTATTATTGTTATTGTTATTGTTATTATTATTATTAGTAGTAGTAGTAGTAGTAGTAGTAGTATCTTGCCCAATTTTAGAACTTTAAAGTTATTCTGAATGAGATATAAAAAGAATCATCACCCAAAACCAAAAAGGAAAAGTTAAGATTCTGAATATGACAGAGAGTTGTAGTTTTGTAAAAGGAATACCGAATCTGGTAAACATTTACATAATTTCTGTGACATGATGTTGAATTTGAACTTTTATTTCACTCTAAGACGCATAAATGTCCGTTTTGGCCTGTTTTTTATGATTGACATGTACAGTAATACTTTTGTTTTTTGGTAAATTTACCAGACATTATCTGTAATTTAACAAAACGGGGAAATTCTTTTCTTTTTTTCTTTTTTTTTTACGTGTTAAATCAAGATTTACTGTTTTCTCAATCCTTAATATATATAATTTTTATTTCAAAAAATGGAAAATTTAAAAGCAGTTAAAAATAAAAAACTGTGGTTCTATGGTTAAACATTTTAAAAGGAAAAATTTTAATTTATAAAAAAAAGAAGTTTTATTTTAAAAAATTGTAATCCACATGTAAATTAATGCAATTTTTACTAAATGTTATCAGTAATTGACCAAGTAAAAATAAGTGTTTGTTTTTTTTTTTAACCTTTTTTCTTATTATAACTATTTACCATTTTTAATACATAGTCTGTCTTTCAAATAACAGCAAATATCTGTAAAATAATGACATTTGTTGTTGATGTAAACACAAAAAATACTGCAGTTCTATGGACAAACTAATTTCTTGATTGTACATTTTAAAAATATGTTACTTTCTTTAAAATAAATGCTTTTTGGGTGTGAAATACAGGACATTTTCACCTTCTTGTGGCTTTAAAAACTTTTAAATGTCCACTCCATCATGGGGTCAGAGGTCGAGGATGCTGGGAAGCACAGCTCCGAGTTAAAATGAGAAAACATGTGACGATATGTTCAGACATGTTGCAAGACAGAGTTGCTGTTTTGTTATTCTCACATATACATCCTACATGCATTTGTCCAGAGATCAGAGGTCAGCGGACGCTTCGTTCTCCTCTTTATTGTTTAAATCAACTGTAACTTCGTGTTTTTTCAGCTGCAGATCTGAAACGTTTGCTCAGAGACCAACATACAGCCAATTAAAACAGCTCCGTGCGCTTCCTGCTGCACAAGATTATTGATATTTTCTTAAATTATTTTCTGTCCAGCTGCGCTCACCTCCGCCCACGCTGCAGCACCTTGAATTAGACATTCATGATTCACGGTTTTACAGCTTTTCCACGACGACTCAGGAGTCAGCAGTCGAGTGGTTTACGCACCGAGAAAGCTTCCAGCTCAGAACTCGTTTACTTTGGCTGGCGGTGAGTAATTCTGCTGTCATCAACACAATGTGGTGCAGAGGAGGCTGTTTTTAAACATGCTTTAAGAAAAGAGACTGGAATTAATGCAAACATTACAAACAGCAGTGTGCAGCCTGCTTCTTCCTGTAGACGCACCAGCAACAAAAAAAGGATCAAATTCAGATAGAACAATAAATCACAACAGGTGTCTGTAGATTTATGTAGAAATACTGAGCTACAGGAATCAAACAAGCGGCCACAATGAAGCATCACTCAGCGCTCAGAGGTGCAGCTCTGCCCTCTTGTGGTCGCATCCTCACTTAATTTATCACAACATCACATTATTCTAGTTTTCACTTTTTAAAAAATGCAGTTTTAAATGTAGAAACAAGTAAAATAAAAGTACCGACTTTAAGAAATACTAACAAAAAAAATTAAAAAAAATCTCAAAACGTATGTCAGACTTCACCATTAGCACTCACAAATACTTCATCATGTAGTAATAATTTTAAAGATCCTAAATGAATAATAAATAATAAATGTAAACCAAAAAAACAAGCTTAATTCCATTAGGGAATTTACATTTAAGTGTAAAATAAATAAATAAAATACAATTTGTTTATTCATTGTTGGAAATACAATAACATTTTTGAATTGTCCCTAGATAATAAATTTGGAAGCAATAAATTTGAATTGAACAAATACGTCACCTCACCTGCAAACTAAAGTTGATAATAACAGAGCAGAGATGCATCTACACCAGTCTATTTCCATTTAATAGGAGCTTTGGATATGAACACAGTATCAGCAATGATTTTTTTTGTGTGTGTCCAGATCCACTTATCTGAAACAAAATAAGCTTCAGACTGATTAAACGGCTGCTTTTCTTGAAAACATAATGAAACACTTGTAGAAGACTTGATCAGCTGTAAATAACTCACACACTCTCTCAGACATGATAGAATGACTTTATTTATTTCTGGTCAACAGGAGCTTATTCAGAGAGGACTCACAGCCACCTCAGGCAGCAGTCACACGTTATCGATTCGTAAAAATCTACACAATCCATGATCACATTAGTGAGGAGAGACGACCCATGTTATCTGTTACTGAGAGACGACCCATGTTATCTGTTGCTGAGAGACGACCCATGTTATCTGTTGCTGATCCCAATGACGCATTTTCTGCTAAAAAAAAACACAATAATATACGTTTACATTCTCCACATCAGCCCTTCTAAAGCTTTAATCTGACACACAGATAGACATGTGCAGGGTGACTTGTTACCGTGACACAATTCCAAAAAACAAAAAGCTCTAAAAATAAACGGATTGTTTGTAATTAGCTTTATTTCCCGTAGGGCTCTAGTTTAGCTTAACTAAAGTCCCTCCGTTGGTCCGCCTCGGTTCCTCAGGTGTCCGTCGGTCACTCCTTCAGCCAGGTGAGCAGCTGAGGTGTGTAGTAGGTGATGATGATGTCAGCGCCTGCACCGCAAAGGAGGCAAAACTGTTAGCATCGAGTCGGATGGCAGCTAAAGACAAACTGATTTATCTTGAAATAAGCCGTGAACTTCTACATTAATGCTCCCGACATAATAAAATAATAAACAAAAGACTAAATAGCAGCTCATCAAACTGTCCAAACAGCTCATTATTTTATCTATGATCTCTTAAAAACTGTAAATTCTGTCCACATGTGATGACAATCTAACAACTCCTTTACTTTGTGATGATTTAGCTGCAGCTGACCAAAGTGCAGCAAAGTTCCCAGTGTGACTCCCTGTTAGATCAGATCCGTCCTGTCTCCACGTCAGGGACAGTTTATAATCATAAGTAATGACTGAAAATGATAAACTCGTGCACCTCTCTCACTTTGGATCCGGCTGCAGATATTTAAATTCAGAGGAAATAATCCTGAACAGCTGGAAGCAACAAACTAAACTTCAGCTCCTGTTTTTTCAGAACCTGGATTACATTTATTATTAGTGAGTCTCATTCATTTGACTCTGTAGTTGTATTTTTTGGACATTTCAGGTGCTTATAGATGTGAAATTGCAGAGCAAAGTAAATGAGAAGTGTTTTTGGCTGCATCTTTTGCTTTTTGTGATGTTTTTGAACCAATTTTAGTGCTGAAATGTGGGGAAAGCCTTCCTTAAATCACAAGTTGTTTTCTGCTCATGTCACTGGGTTCAGTTCAGACTTGTGATTTATTAAAAGTGTCTGAGTCGGTCAGACTGCAGAGACGACTTTCACAGCAAAGTTAGCGGTTTGCACGCGTTCCTATCCGGAAACTAAATCTGTGTATTACTCTTTAATGAACTTGAGTAATTTAAAACACCCTCAAAATGACTCTAAATGCACAAACGTGGTCTTAAAACCAACACATGAGAATCAGCTGACTGACACGCTGGATGACACGTTGCATTATTAAACACACTGAACTCTTATTTCAGCTAAACGTAAAATAAATTTCAGTTAAACAAGCAAACAGTGTGATAATCTTGTCTTCTGCATCCATGGCAGTAAACACCTGGTGAATACCGTGACACAGAGTTGAGATAATCAGCTGATTAAACCCCAGTTTTGCCTCCTTCGGCTTTCTCTGATCATCAACGTACTGTTTTAATAAAACACAACATTCTTCTGTTTCTGACAATCCAACCAGCCTCATCATCTGTGCTTTGCCGTCACTGGATCTTCCCGGAGGTCAAATAAAATGCCAGGATGAAGCGTTAACACCTATCCGCTCTGCTTTCAGGTGCCAGAAACGCCGTCTGAGCGTCCACTCTCCCCTCACCTGCCCGGCGGAAGGCGGTCATGGCCTCCATGACGGCGGCCTTCAGGTCGAACGCTCCGGCCTGAGCTCCGTGCCACATCATAGCAAACTCCCCCGACACGTTGTAAACCGCCAGAGGGTGGGACGGGAACTGAGCAAGATGAGAACAATCACTGTTTAATATCTTTTATATCTTACTAAAGGCAAGTTTTATGATATTTGTCGGGACCTTTGCAGTCAGTTTAGTTGTTAAAACTGTTCACTGCAGCATTATTCTTCTGAGATCAATCCTACCTTGTCTTTGACTTCCCTTACGATGTCCAGATAGGGCAGCCCGGGCTTCACCATCAGCATGTCAGCTCCTTCCCTCACGTCTCGTTCCTGCAGAGCGACAGCAGTGAGATCAGCTGCTCCAGAGTGACACCAGTAATCCAGACGTGCACACATGTGAACTCAACCTACCACAGCGCGGACAGCCAGACCTCTGGCTCCAGGAGGCAGCTGGTAGCAGCGTCGGTCTCCAAAGGCCGGCTTGGACTGAGCAGCATCTCTGTACACAAACACAGCAGGAAGCTTCAGCTAGTTCACACCTCAGAGAGCAGCTCCACTGATTCCTGAGCGCTGATTTACCTGAAGGGTCCGTAGTAACAGGAGGCGAACTTTGCACTGTAGCTCAGCACAGAGACCTGCAGACGGAGAACAAAGTGTCACTTTTAATATAAAACCAGCAGCGAAGTGATGCTAATAATACAAATTGTCTGTGCTGTTTGCACTGATATGTTTGTCATTTTTAACATATTTTTGTCATTTTGGACCAGTTTTTAATCACATTAGACATTTTGAATCTTTTTAGACACATTTCAAGTCACTGTGGATGGTGTTTTTGTCATTTTGCACATATTTACAGACATTTTTGACATATTCTAAATCTTTTTGGTTAATTTGAGTCATCATGGACAAGTTTCTGCTACTTCAAGTTTCAAGTCATGTTGGACATTTGAGTCATTTTGTACAATTTCAAGTCAAATTGGACAAGAGTTTGACATTTTGGACAACTTTTGAGTCTTTTTTGACAAATTTTGAGTCATTGTGGACACGGTAATGTGATTTTGAACGAATTTAAAGTCTTGTTAGACACTTTCAAGTCATTTTTACATCACATTGGACAGGTTTAAGTCAAGCTGGACAAATTTAGTGACTAATTCAGTCATTTTTTAACAAACTGAGTCAAACATTATGAACACGTTTGCCATTTTGGACAAACTAAAAACAAGTTTGAAGTCACTGTGGACTAATTTTAAGTCAAGTTGGACAGTTTTACATCATTTGGACCAAGTTTGTTTTTTTTGTTGTTTTTTTTTTTTTGAATAAGTTTCAAGTCATTTTGGACATTTTGACAATATCAAGTCATGTTGGACAGGATTTGGGGATCTTTTTTGGATAACTTTGGAGCCATTTTGGACAAATGTGGTGACTGTGGATACATGTATTTTATTTTGGACAAATTCAAAGTCATGTTAGAGAGTTTCAACTCATTTTTCAAGTCACATTAGACAGATTTAAGTCACGTTGGACAGATTTAGAGACTGATTCTACGTCATTTTGAACAAGCTGAGTCAAACACTATGAGCATGTTTGTCAATTTTGACAAACTAAATCATTGTTTCTGTCATATCGCACAAGTTTGAAGTGATTGTGGACTAATTTTTAAGTCATGCTAGACAGTTTCACATCATTTTAGACCATTTTATGTCATGTTGCACAAGTTTACAGACATTTTTGACATTTTGTTTTCCATTTTGGATAAGTTTCAAGACATTTTTGAGTCCTTTTTGACAACATGAAGTCACATTGGACAGGATTTGGGGATTTTTTTGGATCAATTTTGAGCCATTTTGGACAAGCATGCTCATTGTGGACACGTTTTTATCATGTTGAAGGGTTCTCAGCAACAAAAAAGGACGGCTGGTGAACTAGTTCATGTGCCCGTGTGGTCAGATTTACCTTGTTTCCAAGACCGTTGGATATCAGTGCTTGTTTAATGGCTCCGACTCTTCCATCCATCATATCAGAGGGAGCGATGATGTGACAACCTGCAGAACAACTTAATTAGTCCGGTTTAGCTTTACCTTCAGCATCAGTTGATATGGGTGAAAAAAATATCCAGTAAAGAAATGAGATAAATATGATGAATGGACACAGTGAGGACAATGAAGAGCAGAGATTCCTGTTTGTTAAACCCTAAAAATAGAAACAATCTTGACATAAAGAGAAGCTTTACCAGCTCGAGCGTAAGCCAGAGCGACTTCCGCCAGACGCAGGCAGCTGGCGTCGTTGTTCAGAGTGCCGTCGTCATTCAGGATTCCTGCAGAAAATAAAACACAGAAAAGTAAGAAACCCCGCTGCACACCGTTAACACCACAACAGAAAGCCACATTAACGAGGAGGCGCTGACCACAGTGTCCGTGTGACGTGTAGGGACACAGGCAGACGTCGCAGGACACCAGCAGCTCCGGATACAAGGACCGGATTTTCTTCACAGCCAACACAGCCGGCGTGTCGTCCGAGTCGGCTCCTGATCCTCTGTCATCCTGAAACACAGTCGATCAGGTGTCTCAATGTGAAAGAACAGGTTTGCTGTCGTTTCTAATCCGTGAGAATTAATGTGTCGTTATAAGAGCTTCAACTCTGCTGGTGTCAGGCGACAAAACTGGATTCTGGAAACTGGCTTCAGGAGTTTTGCTGCTACAGAAGCATCAGGGAGGTTCATCACACAAGTTCTGAGTCATTTTGGACAGCTGCAAGTCATTCCGGGCAAATATGGAATCAAGATTTTGAACCGTTTTTTGTCATATTGGACAAATTTACAGACATTTTTGACAAAATTTGTGTCATTTTGAACAAGTTTCAGGACCTGGTTGACAAACTTTGAATAACTGTGGACGAGTTTTTGTCAGTTTTAAGTCGCTTTGGATAAATTCTGAGCCACTGTGGGCTATTTGAGTCATTTTAAACAGGTTTTTGTGACACGGGACAAGCTTACAGACAGTTTTGACAAATTCTACATCGTTCTGGACAAACTGCACGAGTTATAGTCATTTGGGGAAAGTTTCAGGTCACGTTGGACAAATTTTGAGTCATCGTGGACACGTTTTTTTGTCGTGCTGGACAGTTTTGTGAAATGCTAGACTGGTTTCCAAGTCATTTCTGACAAATGGAGTCACTGTCGACGCGTTTTTTTTCATGTTGGACAACTCTACAGACATTTCTGAAAAATTCACTGTGGACAAGTTTCAAGTCAAATTGGAGAGTTTGGAATTATTCTGGAAAGGTTTAAGGGCATTT